TCGGTGTGGACTTGTTGGGCCAAAGGGCCTGTTTCCACACTGTAAGAATTCTATGATATGATAACCATTCCCCAGGGTCCTACTATTAATTTTGCAAGTCCTGCTCTGGTTTGCCTTACCAAAATGCAACACCTCACATTCATCTAAATTAAATTCCATCTGCCACTGCTCGGCCCATTAGCCCAGCTGATTAAGCTATCATTGTACTCTTAAATAACCTTCTTTACTGTCCACTATATCACCAATTTTGGTGTTATCCTCAAACATACTAACCATGCCTCCTATATTCTCATCCGAGCCATTTATATAGAAGATGAACAACAGTGGACCCAGCACCGATCCTTGTCGCTGGTTACAGGCCTCCAGTCCAAACAAAAACCCCTACCACCACCCTTGGTCTCCAGTTATCAAGCTAATTTTGTAACCAATTGGCTAGCTGTCCCTGGATCCCATGTGATCTAACCTTCACCAGTCTATCTTTGTCGAAGGTCTTGCTAAAGTCCATGTAGACAATGTCTACTTCCTGTCTCAGATTACTTAAACTTTTATTGCACCTGATTTTTTTGTCCTTTCAGGGTTAACATTTAATTGAGTACAACATGTACGACACACCGTGAAGATGTTTTGAGGACTTGCTGGGTGAACAAACTAAGGTTTGCTGGGAAAAGGACCTAAGGCTAGATCCTCTTGAAAGTCTCTGTTGTAATGTAAAACCTACTTTTATAATCTGTAAATAGTTGCAGAGAAGCAATGAACTATATCTCTTTTATTCTACTAGAGTAGTCCCAGTTAGCCAGAAATTGGTTACTCTTGCATTTATGGGAATGCATAAACTCCCATACATTTAAAGAAATGGATGGCAGCAAACACAACATGGTGATAAACCTTGGGAAATAGAATGTGGAGGTAGAATTTGGCAGCACCAGCCCTAAAGAGGCAATCATGCTGGAAACCCTAAAGTTTTTTTTAAATCATTAATGGCATATGGGTATGACTAGCTGAGCTGGCATTTAATACCCATCTCTCACTGTTGGAGAGGTGGTGGTGAGCTATCTTCTGAAATGTTACAATCCATTTGGTAGGTTGACCCACAGTGATTCCGGGAGGGAATTCTCCGATTTTTACCCAGTTATCACGAAGAACAGCACTATGTTTCCAAGTCTAAATGGTGAGTGGCATGAAGGGGAAATGCAGCATTGATGTTCCCATGTATCTGCTGTCCTTGTCCTTCTAGATGGAAGTAGGCATGAGTTTGGAAGATTCTTTCAAAGGAGCCCTGATGAATTTCTTTAATGCATCTTGAGATGGTAAACACTGCTGTTGCTAAGCATCAATAGTAGAAGGAGTGAATGGTTGGGGATGTTGTGCTACTGAAGTGGGCTACTTTTTCTTGAATGGTGGCATCATCTTCAGTATTATTGGAGCTGCCTCATCGAGGCAAGTGGGGAATATTCCATCGCACACACACACTCCTGATTTGTGCCTGGTAGATGGTAGACAAGCTTTGGGGAATCACAAGGTGAATTATTTGAGATGAGGAGCAATTCTTTACATAGAAGTGGGTTAAAATTTGGAATCTTCTATCCCGGAAGGCTACGGAAGATCAGACTTTGAGTGTATTTAACTGGAGGTTGATAGACTTCTGATCACCCATCGTGCAAAAGGTTATGGAAATAGAGTAGGTAAAAGGTGTTAGAGAGTTCAATTAGCCATTATCTTAATTAATAGTGGAGCAGGCTCAATGAGCTAAATGGCCTATTCATGTTCCGATGCTGCAATGCAAGATTCCTCGCCTTTGAGCTGCTCTTATAGCTTCAGTATTACTAAATCAAATCTAGTCCAGTTTCTGGTCAAGCCCCAGGATATTGATAATGGGGAATTCAGTGATGGTAATCCCATTGAATGATAATGACTAATGGTTACATAAGAACTCAGAGCAAGCATAGGCAATTCAGCCCGTTGAACCTCCTCCACCATCTTATACAATATGGTTGATCTCAAATTGGTCTCAGCTCCACTTTCCTGCCCGCTGCCCATAACACTTCAACATGATATTAGTTAAGAATCTGTCTATTATAGTGATTGGAACAATGTCAGTCAGGTGGATCCATAGAATATGAGTTCCCTGATTGGAGTCGTTAACATAGGCCAATCAAGGAGCCCCAGCTGATAGATATACATGTCATGGGTTCTGCTCACTCAAGGAGTCAACTCTGTGCTAGCTGGATCAGTGTCATGTACTGTGCACGTGTAAATAATTCGGGACTCGGTGATGAAAGATTCTGGCCTTCATGGAGTTATTTCATCTATCTTCTCCTTAAATTTACTCACTGTCCCAGTGTCCTCTGCACTCTGGGGTAGTGAATTTCACAGATTTATGACCCTTTGAGAGAAGTCATTTCTTCTCTTTTTAAATCAGTTACCCCTTATCCTAAACCTACAGGATTGGTCCACATGAGGTTAGTTTTCTCTCCTGTCTCAATGGTCAAACAGATATCGCTGGATTGCTGAGGACAAAGAACTGCAAAGTTTTTGTCGTGGTACCCAGCATGTGTGCTGGGACAGAAGAAACTTGTAGCTCCAAGGCAAAGTTATAGCATGCATCACAAGGTGCTGGAATGTGGAGCAGTCCAGAGTTTAAGTTCTAACAGTGAGTGAATAGACATTGAGGATTGTCCAAATTAATACTGAAATCCCTGGCTTGAAAGGGAAACTTTAAATAATAGAATCCCTGCAGTGGGGAAGCAGGCCACTTGGCCCATTAAATCCACGCTGACCCTCTGAAGCACATCCTACCCAGACCCATCCCTCTACCCTATCCCTGCATTTCCCATGGCCAATGCACCTAACCTGCATGTCTTTGGACTGTGGGAGGAAACCCTTGCAGACATAGGGAGAATGTACAAACTCCACATAGACAATCGCCTGAGGTTGGAATTGAAGCCAGGACCCTGTTGCTGTTAGGCAGCAGTGCTAACCACTGAACCATCCTGCAGCCCCAGTGCTGTCAATGATTCTGTAATTCAGTCTGAGCTGGTGAGAATTAAATTTAAATAAAGTTGCACCTGAGATCAAGTATCATAGTGCAAAGTTATCTGTGAGGCACACTGAGGTAAGAAAAAGAACGAACAGGTCCAATCTTCCACTGGTCATGAATGCAGTCATTTAAAGTTAAAGAAGTGAGTTGTTCTGTCAAAATACAGAAATTTTGAGGGATATTCCAATGAGAGTGTGAAAGACGGAGAATTCTCCAAAAAGTTGCAAAAGATAGGTGAAAAGATAAATTTCAGTCACAGAATGTATGAATCCTCCTTAATGGCCACAAAGTTAAGGTGAGGTTAACACGTTTTTACTCATGTATAGATGGAGACTGGAATTCACTGTCTGAAAGTATGGTGAAAGTGGGTTCAATTGATGCATGCAAGAGAGTGCTGGATGATTATTTAAATAGGAACAATATGCAACGTTACAGAGATCGGAACCAAGTTTAAATTGGCTGAGTGGCCTCTTTAGTACCATAATAATTCTGTGATTCTGAAATTGCTTGAATCTTATATTAAAGCTGCAAACAGTAGAAGAACCTTTTGGGACATTTGAAAAGTATGGGCTAGCCATCATTACTGCAACATAAAAATCTTTAAAGAAGACAATTTACCTAATCATATTAGGAAACCAAGGCATCAGGAAAAGTATTGCCAGGAAGATTTAATTTCAGAGATGGGCCAAATAGAACACAAAATTGGACGTAAAAATACAAACTGCTGACTACATTCAGCAAGTCTGGCAGCATCTGTGGAAAGGAAGCACACTTTCGAAACTGATGATTCTTAATCAGAACTTCAGTCCCTAACTGCTCATGAGTTCTGATGAATTGTCACCTGACTCCAAATGTTAACTCTGCTTTCTTCTGAAAGATGCTTCCAGACCTGTTGAATTTCACCAGCAATTTGTTTTTTGTTTCAGATCTCCAGCGTTTGCAGTTCTTTATTTTATTCTAACAAAATTGGACATCCTGGAGAAAATGAGTCCTGAGATATGAAATATCTTCAAAACTGTATTCTAAGTTAGAATCTCAACAAGTAGATTCAGTGAAGTTTGCAATTGGAAGCATGGCAGATGATACTATTGCTTGCCAACAACAATCAACTGATATATTCAAAGAGGTACAGAAAGACTTTAACAGATCTTTCAACTTCAGAACTAACACAAATCTTGAAACAGCAAGATTTAACAGAAGAATACAGCATCCAGAAGAACACATAGATGAGTTAATTCATTATCTTTACAGACTTGTGGGGAATGCCACAATGTTGATTTAAAATGAGAATACATAAGAGACCAAATTGTTGTAGGCATTACCAATGAGCCTCTGTCATAGTTATTAGAGTACGAGTAAGATCTGACTCCAATGAATGCCGTTGAGATAGTGAACAAAGTAGAGTTTTGGAAGAAACACAGATTAATTGCATTGGAAGAAGATCAAACTTTACACAGGAGGGCATTGAAATCCACCCAATTCCTCAGACACAGAGCAGTAAAAAATGTCACATGATAAGCAATGAAGTGGGTAGAATTGACACCAGGCACAAATAGCCCTTTCCAAATATTCACAGCAACAAAATCTCATAGGTGCAAAACATGGCCTGATGTTAAACCTGAATGCTTATTTCATAGAATCCCTACAGTGTAGAAACAGGGCTTTTAGCCCAACAAGTCCGCACTGACCCTCAGAGCATCCTACCCAGACCTATCGCCCTATAACCCACCTAATCTAGGCATCCCTGAACACTGTGGGCAATTTAGCATGGCCAACCCACCTAGCCTGTACATCATTGGACTGTGGGAGAAAACTGGAGCACCCAGAGGAAACCCACGCAGACATAGGGAACATGCAAACTCCACACAGACCGTCAACCAAGGGTAGAATTGAACCCAGGTTCCTGGTGCTGTAAGGCAGCAATGCTAACCACTGAGCCACCATGCTGCCCCAGAAATAAAGACACCCAGCATGGGGCTCAAACCCACAATCCTAAGATTAAGAGTCTCACACTCTACCGACTGAGCTAGCCAGGCCCTTTCTATTGTAAAATAATAGGTAACGTAGCCAAGTATGCAGAAACAGGACATAGCCATTAAAAATACATCAGACCAAAGAACTATCAATAAAAGAGAGGTAAATGTGTAGAGTAGTCTCCAGTCGAAGACAGAAGAGTTTTTTTTAAGAGAAAATCAGTGTCCTGGACCAAACATTTTAGTGAGATGGTATTTATGCCAATGGGCATCTCATAAATTTCAAGTTACACATGGAAGTAAGTATCACAGCATTATCAGACGGTTGACAAACACTGTTTACAGCCAACGAGATGCTCCTGGGGGCATTGCACTCAACACTAAAGATAAGCTACAGGCAACTGCAGGACAACAAATAGTAGAAAGCTGATGTCCTTCACCTTCAGGAATTCTCATGCTCGAGCAGAAAAGCATGTTTTGACCTCAATCTCATTCAAGAGCTCGCAGGAATTGACAAATTACCTTCAACCCTACAAGCTGCCACTCTTTTAACCCTGAGGAGAGCCTGTTCAGGGACAACATTTAAACATGCAAACATGAATTTGGAAAGTCAAACAATAGGGTTAAATGGGAAAGTGGGAAATGGAATTAAACAAAACAAGATGGATTACAATAATAAGTTGTCGAGAAAAAACAAATGGGACGTCACATGAGAGTCTGGAAAGAGAGGTGATGGTTTTGGGTCAAGGAGATAATAAGGAATGCAAATACTGGAAGCCAGAGTCTATTGGTGTGAGGCTGGAAAAGCACAGCAGGTCAGACAGCATCAGAGGAGCAGGAAAGTCAACATTTCGGGCCAGGACAAGAGGTGATGGTTTAATTGTATTATCACGAAACAGTTAACCCAGAGATGCAGATAATCTTCTAGGTAAACAGGCTCAGGACAAACCAAGGCATTTGTGCAGTCAACTTTAATCAGCTGGCCTCAGTACAAACTCATTACGTTCCTATGGAGAGACACAAATTATGCTACACATTATTGAAGAGTGTCGCCTCTACAAGCTAAGTGGTGGATCAGTCACGTTAAACTCATCAAATGAGGTGGCTATTACCAGGCCTCAGGGAATTGAGTTTGCCAAATCGACTACATTAGCATTTAAATTGTATCAATAGTGCACAGACAGCAGATCTGTGTTGACCGGGAAGGTGCTGGGGAATTGGTTTGGGCCTATTTTCGAGTCTAGAAACCAGAGATCTGATGCTCACTGGAATGGGCATTAGGCCTCAGTTGAGAGATGAGCTGCCTGCAGTAATTCTACATTGTACTATCACATTTGAGCTGGTAATCGTTCTCTGAGAAATCATCATCGGAAGTGATGGCGGAAACGCTCACAAGCTATAACATGGTCCTTGAGAAGTCCTACCCCCAACAGCTGTGCAGGAAGAAAATATTTTTGGTGCTTAACTATTTGATAGTTATATAATTCCAACAAAAGATGAGTTCTGTACAAATGAATTTTCCTGAGGAAACATTTAATAGATGTCCTTTACCTTTTGTTACCAAATGCATGTGGCCTATGGGGAGGTGATGGCCTCGAGATCTCACTTGTCCAGTAATCCACTACCACAGGTTAATGTCCTGGAAACATGGGTTCAAATCTTGCCATGGCAAACAGTCAAATCTGAATTCAAATTTAAAAAGCTGGCCAAACGGCAACCACATAATTTCTGACAATTGTTATTGTAAAAAGTACATCTGGTTCAGGTTCATTATGAAGGAAGGAACTCTGCCATCCTTCACTTGTCTCACCTTCATATGACTTCAGCTGCACAGTAATGTGGTTGACTCTTAGGCATTGGCAATAAATACCCACATGCCAGCAACAAATTTAATAAAAGCTTGTTAAAGATGGCTGCCCAAGATGGCTAAAATTTCGTTCAAGCCACTATAGCCTTGGATGAATTTCAGGCATCCTCAATGTAAAATCCACCAATTTTCTGGCTTTTGAATAACGAAAGATTATTTTCCTGGGGGTGAAATATAATGGACTGTAAGTTATACAAACACTTGTGTCTCAAACATCCGGATGAGGTGGTACTTTGGAGCACAAAAAATTGATGGAAGATTTCCCAAACCATCATCAAAGTTATTTAAATGACTTCCTTTTCTGACACTTTAATCAGCAGTTTGACTGTCTCACTAATGTATGTGTGCAATATTTGAAATAATACGATTTTGCACTACACAGTGAGGACAAATAACATTTTTCCTTGGCTTAATCAATTTTAAATTGAATTGTTCATTGTTTATGAATAGACATTATTAGACCATTAAAATTTTCATCATTCCTGAGACAGGTTATAAAATTTATTAAATCAATTGTGAGTTTTCAAACATAAACTTCATGACAAACTCAAGCAAACTAGCCTGAATCTAAAAGATTTGCTATTAATTGAGGAAACTGTGACATTCAGAGTCATTTATTTGTTTTTAGTTAATAATTCAGCACTGTTTTCAATTCTAACTCTTTGGGTTTTCCTCCAATCTCCGATCATTTAGCCTAAGCAAAATCCAGACCCAAATCATAGGATTATGTTTTGTCACAATTATTGAAACTCGTTGTTGGCTTTAATTCCAGCTTGGTAAGATAGAAGTAGCCATGCTGGGTCATTGGTAATGATCTTCCTGGAGCCTACCTCAAACAGTGGGCCATTTGATTGAGGAAGTCAAACTGACTTGGGAATCCAGTAGGAGGAATAGAGGTGGGTGGTGATTATGTGGGTAGAATACCAGGGCACCACAAGATCCAGGCATGTTCTGAAGAATGATAAAAGGTATAAGCATACATTTGGTGGCAAATGCCAATCCATCAGTATGCGAGGGCATGCCGACAGCAATGGATGTATGTCTAACTTCCAGCAGGGTATCTTTGCCTGATGCAGTAATGATTATGATATCCCTCATTACATAAGAGATAGGTTTTTATAAAGTAGTATTGAATGATCAACAGATGTTTATCATAGCTCACTAATGCATGCAAACATTTCATTCACTGACATATCCATGTTGGGCTAACATTATGCTATTCTGTGATAAGGAACAGTATGTTTTTCTGTCAGTGTAATGGCCCACATTAAGATGGAGTCTGACACTTTTCAGGCTACACGTAATGAGACAGTAATGATATTGTGAGCAGGTTTCTCAAAGGTATACTGATGTACTAACTGTGAGGTATAACACAGAATGCATGACTCAAGTGGGGAAGGCTAAAAGTTGATTCCCGTGTGCTTTGGCCTTCTTACAAAGGTGGTCATCTCCATGAAACAGCTCAACTGTGACTCGACTGCGGTGGCCTTTCCACCATCAGGAGAAACAGAACAGCTTAATGTTAGCTAAGACACAGATATGCCAGCGAATGAAATGTTTGTATGTATTCATAAGATGTAATAAACATCTGTTGATCTTTCAATTCTAAACTACAAAAATCTATTTCTCATGTAATGAGGGTGAAATAACTGCATAAAGGCCAGTGTCCAGTCACCAAATCACCCTTTATTTATATGTGCACAGTACATGTGCTCTGACTGACTAGTTTAAGGCCAGTCTCTACAGGGAGGAGATTCTCTGAGACTCTTGTTTATTTCTGTCAGCCAGGGCTCCCTGATTGGCCCAGGTTAACAGCCTCAATCAGCGATCTCATACTCAATGACATTCACCTGGCCAACCTCATTCAAATCACTACAGAATGATACCATAATCATTACTGTATCAAGTCAAGATATTCTACTAGAAATAAAACACATATCAACAGGTGCCACAAGTCCATAGAAATGGGAATGCCTTTCCATACTGATGTATGCTTACACTTTTGTAATTCTTCAGTGTAACCAATGTTAATCCAAGTGGAGACTGAATTGAGCCTATTTCCCTATAAATTGCTGCCAACTGGATAGACAATGGAAGTCAAACTCCAGCTTCACCAAAACAGAAGTTGCTGGAAAGGCTCAGCAAGTCTGGCAGCATCTGTGAAGAAAAAGTCAGAGTTAACGTTTCAGGTCTGGTGACCCTTCCTTAGAACTTTACAGTGTCCGCAGTCCTTTCGGTTTTTATCTAGCTCCACCATTGTCATTTGGAGGCAGGATTGGATTAGGGAGCTGCCTCAATGTGAGATTTTTGATTTTGTTCCAAATTTGTCGAAGTAAACCCAGAAAATTCATTGCCTTGGAACTGCATTCTGTCCCTTGGGAACCGCATTCTGTGTCTGTATGCCAACTTACATTCTCTAACATGAGGCCTCACACAAGTCTTGAGTGAGTGCTGCTGCTGAGACGAACAACTGATTTTTTAGACATACAAAAATCCAAAACTTCTTCACAAATGCATGTAAGTAGACCAAAATAAGAATTGAAGTAGCCAGACAGAGATTAGGCAGGGTAACAAAAACAAGTGAGTGTTGTCAGCCAAAAAAAAAATGAATTCTTGTCTATAAAAGATGCTGCCCTGGTCACACTTGCTGTGAACATGCTGTCTGATATCATAGGTTTAAGCAAAATGGACATTTCTCCTTCACAAATCTGTACATTGAAAATTTGGTTAAAAAGGCCTCTTCAAGATGGAAACCATAGTCAGACAAGTTTTCTGCAGCGTCATGTTTCAAAACCAGTTGAGCTATACGAAAAGGAGGCTGTCTCAATGCCTCTGGCTCAGGACAACATGATGGGTCTTTCTAAGGTGTGAAACAATGCTTCCTTCCCCAAAAAATGTCAAAGTGTGGAGGTGCCAATGTTGGACTGGGGTGGACAAGGTTACACGACACCAGGTCATAGTCCAACAGGTTTATTTGAAATCAAGCTTTCAGTGAAGTCCTCACCTGATGAAGGAGCAGCACTCCAAAAGCTTTTGGTTTTAAATAAACCTGGGAAATGTCAAAGTGGGAGCTATTCAATTTGATAATTGCAGTATTTGAAAAACTGTTTGCCTCACTTAAAAGACAATGGATGACTCTATCCTGATATCTGGAGTGATCAGGCTCATCAGTCTGCAATAAACACTTTTACAAGTT